TCCAGTATTCCGTTCTGCAACGAATACCTATGATTGTGATCGTATCCAATACTTATGATCATCTATGTGATCATCAATCACACATCATACTAGTCTTATTATGTCGTTATTCCCATAACGACATAAGACTAGGGAGTTTAGTATCATTCATAATGATACATGGATTTCATAACAGATCTAGCATGCAAGAACATGTAATGAATAAAATACTCTCATAAAATCACATAGAAAGTATCAATACATCGAATGTGTCTGAACAAAGCTCATAATCAGTACATCATAGAGCACTAAACCAACACGCAGGTCTCTGCAGGTGGCATGCAGGTGGGAAGGGTCATTGTGTAGAGCCGAGGGACTTGCCCACCTGCATTCCACCTGCAGAGTCCTGCGACCCATGGGAAAAGATCTACAGACATACCGTTCGTTGCGTGACCGAAGGTTTCGTGTTGGAAATCTTAGAGAAAAGCGTCATGGGAGGGTCATTTTACAGGAACAACGGAAACGAAAGATGAAAGGTACGACAGATGCCGTTTTTGCGATACGACCTGCTTTTCTCTTAGATTTCTCACAGGAACCTTTCGGTCAGGCAACGAACGGCAGGTCTGTAGATCCTTCTCTATGGGTCGCAGGTCTCTGCAGGTGGCATGCAGGTGGGCAGGGTCATTGTGTAGAACCGAGGGACCTGCCCACCTGCAGAGACCTGTATGTCTAGAACATTACCTGCCTACCTGCCTTAGTAGAATATGACCTGCCAAGTTGGTGTCTCAGTTCGAACTGTAACATAGAGTAGGTTTTCACCTTTTTCTGGAAGGGTCATTCGCAGGAACAACCAAAATAAACGATGGCCTGCACGACACGAACAGCAGGTCATCGTTTAGAACTAGTAAGTAGTAATGAAACGTTACTTACCTTTTTATAAAGAGAAAGACTGGAATGCACTGAACAGTTAAACTGGAGAAAAAACTGGAAGAAAGTGAAAATGGAGGAATGGAGAAAGATGAGATGTGGAAGTCAAAATTGTATATTAGTCATTAAAAAAAATATGTATTAGGTTAAGATAATCACGAAATATCGGAATTGGCGGGAAGGGGTATTTTAGGTATGCCAAAAAAAAAGTATAGTTTACAAAGGTTGTTTTTGTATAGAACATTTTGCAAATTTCATTTTTGTTTTGGTACACTTTGTAAACTCTTCCTAAAATTATTTATTTAATATCCTTTATTTTTCGTAAAATCGTTTTCATTTTTTTTATAAAAAAATTCATTTTAACTTTTCTGACAAACAAAGTGAGCCTTCTGAAGCAGCTTTGACCGTAACAAAAGAAGTCTTTTTAACCCCTCGAATCAAAAAGCAAAAACAGAAGAAAGGAAAATCAAATCGGAGTTTCCAATTTGCCGGCGAATCCAATAGCTCTCCTTCATTGCCGGCACCGGAGACGACGACGACAACGGCGGAGGTTTCTGCGACCACCAATCTCATACAAGCGGAAGAAACCCATCCGCACAAGCAAAGTCCTTCGTCGCTGATGAGCTCACCGAGACGCTCTGTTCTTCATTTCCCTGCGAACGGTTCAACGCCAAAAACCCTAGGCTTTTAGAAAACCCACCTCGCGACTTCGTCGAAGAAGCTCGGGAAGTAACCCTAGAGACGTGTGAGAATGGTCGATTGTGGCGGCGATGCACCGGCGGAGCTCGTCTGCGATGGCGCCATCAGCTTCTAGGTCCTCCGCCGCCGCCGTAACGTATGCGATTCCGGTGACGCCGATTTCGGCTGCTAATCCGTCCAGCGAGGCCATGCTCGTGATGTCGGGTAGTCCACTTGCTAGGGTTCGGTTGTGTGATATTATGCTCTACGATGGGGCTTCTTCACTGGCTTACATTAGGGCGGTGGAGGCTTTATCTGGGTCGTTAATGAGGTATAATGCGTCCGTGATCGAGCTCGGGAGCGAGGATGCGGCATTGATGAGATGTGGGCTTGAGGCTGCGAGCTTGTTTTTCAGGACCAGAGGACAAACCCTTGTCGGAAAGGGAAGTCATAATCTCTGTATGTACAGAGCAGGAAGGTATTTCATATACTTCTCTATAGTCTCATAAATTCAGTTTGGAATTTAGTCGCGAAGCCCGTTTCAGATGGTTTCTTGTTTGTCTGGGTGCGTTGTGAATTGAAATGGGGTCCTGCTTGTTACTTTGGCAACTTGAAATCACGCAATTTCAAGTGTTGATTTGGTTCAGTTTCGTTTCAGTAAGTTTCTTGCTCATCATGTTTTTTTATATGCCTTATTATTGTCCGTCTTTTCCTGTCCTTAGTGTTGCCACTGGATTCTTTTTGAGTTGGTTACTTGATGTCCGGTCAATAATATATGGTGGTTCAATAGTTGATTGAGTTTCAAATGGTGGAATACCTCTACACACTGTTATTAAGTAAGACATACTGTTGTCAGTCTTTAGTCATGTTTTTTCTGCTTTTTATGTTGTGTAATGGCTGATTTTTGGCTTCTGGACAGATCACTGGAAGATTTAGATTCTTCGCCTCCATGCATGGCTGAGATATTCAGATGCATGGGGAAAGTAGCACGTGCTGCTTTATCTGCAATTGCAAGGCATCTACGTCTAAGAAGCGAGTAAGGGTGGTTATGGACATTAGTCCTTGTAATTTCTGCTCCATCATTTTGTTTATCATTTTCCCTTCAATTCATTGACTGAGTGTCTTGCAGTGTTTTCAACCATTTGCTTGATGACACTCCATTAGCCCTGAATGAAGTTTCCTCATCAGTTCTTGTGGCTTCCAATGCTGATGCTTCTATACCAAATGGAGAGCCTGCTGCTGGAACTGCAAAGTCATCCGCTAATTTGGAAGTTGAGAAGGGGCTGCTGACACTGTTCTGCTCTGATGGCCCTTGCATTCAGGTCTTTTCCGAAACTTAGATGATGATATATATTAAATGATAGATGTATGGGTTAGGTAGATTCATTGAATCTGGACTATAGTTAGTATGGGTTGTTTTGGCTGTTAGTATTAGTTAGTTAGTAGTTTCGGCAATGAATAGTTATAAATACAGATTAGATAGAGGAGAAAGGGATTACACAGAAGTTTCAGAAAGGGTTAGGGTTTGTTTGGGTGATGAGAGTTGGGATCCTCTCATAAAACAAGATCATCCAAATTCCAAAGTTGTATTCAGGTTTCGGTGAGGAATAAAGTCTAGATTTGTGCTGGAAAGTTGAGTTTCAGATTCTGAACCTTAACATATAAGTCTCTGTGTAGAAGCATAAAGATACGTTTCATGTTAGCAAGGAATTCATTGTGAAAGCATGACTTTTCTTCAACGAAAAGTTTTCATTCTTCCAACGAGAAAGTGTTGTGTAAAAATACTATTCATCTGAATCTAACATTAATAGATTATCAGTTGTACTCATAAACTATACCATTCCTGTAGATCTGCGACCCAAATGGTTGTTGGTACTTAGCAGATAGTGGATGTGGAGCCGGTGATCTTTTACTGATTACAGGCAAATCACTCAGCCATGCTACTGCTGGCCTTCGTCCGGCTGCTTCTTACAAAATGGCTCCTGATCATTTGTCTGGCACTAGCTCTCATGGAAGGTAGGTTCTGGTAGCTTCTAAGTTTTTCTTTTGAAACAAACACACCTTTTCGCATGATTATATGATATTTCATTTTTAATTGCAGGACATCTCTCGCATTCAGGCTAATGCCAAAACGTAACGCTATGTTAGATTGTACCCCAATAGAAGCAGCTGGTCATGTAATTCGTCAAAGTTATGTGCCGATAGCTGTCAGTCAATTTATGGATGATCTCATGCCCGAGGATGACGGATTAGCTAATGCCCCTGTTAAAGCCATTGTAAGTTCATACTCTGTTAAAGTAGAACTAAAAGCCTGTTGTATATAAGAGCACTTGTAAATATACTAAACTCTGGTGTTTGAGAAGTTTTATGCCAATAATTCTGTGTAAACTTGTCTTTTGTCTGAATTATTTGTGATAGGTTGCTCGAGATGACGCCAACAAAGAGCCTTCCTTAAGAAGTGTTCTATCTGATCCGATATCGTGAGTACTGTATTTCTCCTTAAATCATTTTTTTTTCTGTGATGAATAACTTTCCTATTGCTATGGTTCCTTTCAATGAATTACTTGCCGACATTGTTCTAACTATATGAAGTGCATTTCGGTATTAATTGACTCTCAATTCCTCTTTATCAATTTCTCCACTACTAGATAGCTATTCTGGTGAACTTAGTGGATCGATTTAGAAATTACATGGGGGAAATATCAAATACTTAGACTTTTCTGCTACAAACTTTCTACATTGATAGTCCTATTCTGTTCCGGAGCCTGCAATTTGTGAAGATGTATTTACACTATGAACTGAAACCATACTGAGCTGAGTAGGGTAAAACTGTAATTCTTTCCTTTATCTAATTAGACTCCAAACTCCTTGATCTTTTAGTTTTTAAGCCTCATTTTTAGATAATTGGAATTCACTTGGATCATTCTGGGTTTTGTTTCTTCTTCTTAGTTGTTTTGATAATATACAAGTTCTTGTTTTGTATACATTATATCGGGAACGGAAGTACAAAAAGCTCTGAAATCTTCTGTCAGCCTTCTGTTCTTCCAAACAAAAAATGGAGATCACGTTTTCAACCTTCCTATTTAATAAAGTTGATCATAAATGTTACAAAAATTTGAGATACTCTGGCCAGTTTCCTTTGTCAAAGTTACATTCAATGCGGCATACTGATGTAATATATTGAATGATTTTTATTATATTGTTTACAAGAGGCAACAGGGCTAGGTTTCTAATTCTTTGTTACAAACTATTTGATGCTTTTAGTGGTGCTTTTCTTGAAGATGCAATGGTTGTTTCATGTGGACATTCATTTGGCGGCCTCATGCTCAGAAGAGTGCTTGAGATGGTTAGTACTGGCTCTCCTCCTTGTTCATTATCATGCATATGTCTTCTGTGACTGTTCTTGATCCTTGTTGGAAAATATTAAGTGGCGGGATTTGTCTTATCTGCAGTCTAGATGTACTCTCTGCAGTGCAGATATCAAGATTGGCTCTCTGATCCCTAACCTCGGTAACCTAATCGAGTTTCTTTATTATTTTTTGTTCTTTGTTTTGCCTCCTTTCCTCAATGAATTGATGAAACGACCTTTGTGATGTGTGGTACGCTCAAAAATAATTTCATCCGTTCTCTTTTTCTTATAGCACTTAGAGCTGCAGCAGCAGCTATAAAGCAACTGGATGATAGAAGACTTTTCCACAATGCAGCGATGCGGAGACGTAGAAAAGAAATGAGCGATCAAATGGATCTGGTGAGATGATCTGATATGCTCCTTTACCCGGATGGTTTGTGTGTTTGTCTTTGTTTTTTTTGAAGCATGTTTGCCCCTAAACCATTTAAAATTTTTCTTGTTGGTCCATCGCAATGCTTTATGTGTATGAGCACCTAAAGATATACCAGAAATAGGCATTACAAAATCGTATGAAAGCTTCACGCGTGTAAATGGTGGCTTATTCTCTTTCAACGTATGAGTATCACAATATGCATCATTGTCTACGCTTGATATTGTAACATAGAAATGTTCTCCGACAGTGTAAATTATTTTCTAATCGGTGAAACGTAGCAACTGGTATTTGTTACCTTAAGCTTGTTTTGTTCATGGAATCTAGGATCGAACAATGATCTTTGGAGGTCAATCTTGGTTGAATTCTGGGTTTCCAGGCAAAGGCTTTACTTTGAATCCATGTGAGCTTATTTCTCTCATAAAAGTTATGCGGCATTCGTAAATATTTTGTTGTAGGAAAATGGGGACACTGCTACAGAAGATGGACTGCATCGAGCGGTACAGTATCCGTTTGCTGTAAATGAGAAAGTGCTTATCAAGGTGGGAGATTCGGCACGATTACTGAAATGTTCTATCAATTTTAGCTTAAATCTTCATTTTTTTAGTAATTAGGAAGTTCACCGGGCTTTGGCCCAGTTACATCTCCCTAAGGCTCGGGGTAGACCATGTGAAAACCCCTCCCCAATTGGGATTCAATCTTGGGGTGGAGTTACGCTTTGCGTCCCCATGTACCGGTTGATCTAACCTGTTTGGATCTTAAATATTCATGTTGGAGCACCATGAAAGTATTTGTTTTACTTGAATTTTGCAATTTTCAGGGAAATCGGAGAACTCCCGAGAAATTCGTTGGAAAAGAAGCAATAGTTACATCTCAATGTCTCAATGGCTGGTATGTTACTCATGATTCAAAGCTTTTGTCCCTCTCTAACTAAGAAAATTTTGCTAAACCCTGATTCATTCGCTTTCTCGAAATTATCGGCCATGGGTTTTCACGAAGGTACTTGCTAAAAATCGTCGAAAGCGGTGAGAATGTGCGGCTTCAGTATCGTTCCCTCAAGAAGCTCTCTGGCTCGACGTCAAACGAAGAAAGGAGCCTACAACAAGTGCAAACCAATTCAGAGCAGTAGAGTAAGCACATATTTTCAGGTAGGTTTTGCAGTCTTCCTTTTCCTTTTCCCCCCTTCATGAAAGGAAGAGGTTTAAGTATATTATTATGTATGGTCTCAAGGGTTTTCAAGAAACTGCAGAAATATTTAGTTAGAGATTAAGATTTGAAAACTGTTGGAAAAACTATGTAAGCCTCTGTGAAGTAACTTTGTACAGAACTACATAGACACCTTTCCTTTTGTTCTGTTTTTTTGGGTATGATTTTGTTTTTCCTTCTTTTTTTTTTTAATATGTTTGTCAAAGGTTCATTTGCTTGGTTGGGTGAGATGAGTTGGTATTTAAATGATAAATTATGGCGTCTATATGAGAAAAAGAGGTTTAGGTGTTTTTTGTATATAATTCTCGAAATTAGCATTTAAATTATAAATTATGGCATCTATATGGGAAAAAGACGTTTACGTTAAGATTTATATTCTAATATTAGGGTTTAGTTTATCTTTTTTTTTTTTTGTAAATTATAGGTGCTTATATAGTTAACAATCTAAAATTAGTTATTTACTATGTATAATAAAAAGCTTTTTGTTTATGTTTATTATTAGAGTTCGTCTTCTTGATTCAAAACAATTCGAATTACTGTGAAAAATTTAACATATTTATATTTCAATGCAAATAGTTAGCAGATTCATTATCTAAGTTCGACTTCAACGAGATTGGATATCCGAATTCTTGATAAAGTGTGACGTATTCGTGGTTATTCGAACCAAAATTTCATTTTAAAAAATCAAAAGTTAAAAGACTAGGGATATTTAAGTAATTTCAAAAGAAGATTGAATAATTTTGATTTAAGGAAAATTAAAAAATAAATTTTTAATTTTTATGGTTATTAATTTATATCCACATTTCAAATAGGGAATCCGAACACGTGGATATTATATGTTTATTGTCCAAACCTAATCCATGGACGAGTCAGATCTGATGTCTGTAGTAAGATGAAAAAACGGTTTGGTTCGGTAAGATTTATTTTGTTATGATTAATTTGGATTCGATTTATTCAAATGATTATTTAGTTTTAATCGGGTCAATTCAATTCGAATATAAATCAGTTAGCTTCTATTCGGTTTTCAAATAACTGAATCGTTTGACGAACTTTATTCTCTAAATTGGTCTAATATCCAATGGTTTGGTAATTTTCATCATTTTTTCTACCGTTAGAATTGTAACTCCACTGTAAACATATGATTTTGGTCTTCTCGTTGGTTATAAAAAATAAAATATTCTACTAAAGTTGCGTAGAGTAAGATATTTTGTGAGATTTAAAGGTATAATTTTCAAAATAAATACTTTAAAACATCTTCACATTGATAGTTTATAAAATTCTTTAGGAATAACAAAATGGAAAATATCTAAACATCTACAACTGCTGATATAAAATTATAAACATGTATTATTCCCAACAAATATCTATTAGATATCTTACAAAAGGCACAGAATATTTATCTCTTTCCCGAGAAAGTTTTCTCAACCCAAAACATCATTTAAGTTATCTTCATCCATGAAACAAAAAAGAGTACAAAAAATAATAAAAAGAGACCAACAAAAATTGTTTATTGTTGTAAAAACAAAGCTTCCAAGTAATCATCAACATAAGCTAAACAAGGCCAGTGATCGGTTCTAATATGAACCAATGTAGAAGATTCACCAACTTCCATTTGGAAGAGAAGATGAAACCTTGGAGGAAGAAATATGAGCATATGGAGATTACCCATTTTCAGTTTACTTGTGGTTACTGCCTCAACTTCTTGATCGTCTCCGTAACCGATGTAAGTCAGTCTAAGAGGGCTTCTGTCTAGTCCTGCAGTAGAAGGGTTGGCTCGGGAATCTCGTTTGTACTCTTCTTCCTCTTCATCTTTCCACACGATGTTCTCGATGATTCCTCCATCTCTCACGACGTTAACCAGACGTTCACCGGTTACGCTTACAACAAATGGCGCAAGGTAATGCTCGGCGGCCTGAATCACGAACCCGGAAGGAACTTCAAGAAGCTTTACTGAGCGAGTCCCGCTGATAGATGCAACTCCTTTTCCTCCTTTCAATGCGAATGCTTCGTGCCCGGTACTGAAAGATGTACCACATGCCTCCCACAAAGCATCAAATAGTTCTGAGTAGTACCTCGGTATGGCTTCTTCGGGAATGTCGGGTGGGACAAGGGCTTTCAGGAACATGTCTTCTATTCCGATAGGGACATTCTGCAGCTTCCCTTCAACAATCTGACCATTCTCTGCGTTTGCTTCAATTGAAACCTCGACTAAACCAGACGTAGGTTCCTTCGGCTCCAATTCAATTGTCACTGGCGCTCTGGATCCATCTTGCTCATCTTCGGGTGTGTTTTCTATTGGAACGATGTCCAAAGGAGCTTCATTACCAAGTATATTCCCGTTCTGACGAGACTCACCAAGAAGAAAAGGTATGCGACTTGATGGAATAGAACCATATGATGCTGAAGACGAAAATTTGAGCACAGTCGCGAATATGGCAGGAGGCGATTCAACTTTTTCAAACTCATTACCCGGGTTTTGGTCACCCCAAATTCTGGTAAATGGCTCAGCGTCAAATCTCAAAGTACAGAATATCCGGACCTTAATCTCGGGCGTGTGTCTGTAATCAGGAATCACAGAGAAATATCTTCCAAGTCTTCTGAGAACTGATGCAATCTTTGAGTCAATCACCCTAAGTGTGCGACTTCCTGATTCAATTCTTTGACCTTCTGGAATAATCTGGAAGTCTTGACTGTTATCAGGCTCATCTACCTGAATATTGCTGTCCTTAACACTATATCCACCAGTCCCGACACCTAAAGATGGAAAAGACAACAACCAAGATTGTTTGACGAGTAGGGGTGTAACCCGCTCAAGATGAATATAGGATGGAAGGCTCCTAGATTTGTCAGGGTCATGATGATATCGAGGACTTTGCACACTGAAGAAGGTAGAGGAATGAGATGATGGAGAGACACCACCCACGGCGGTTTTCAAGATGCTCCTTATCCTCTGTCCCGGAATACAGACCAACATCCTCATATATATCCTGTAAAGCACAACACATAACAGGTTGATAGTAGCCAATGAAAACGGTTTTGTTAATCGGGATCAAATTAGACATCTCGTAGAACATTTCGTAGGCTGCAATTCAGGATCATACCTTGCATGGTCGCGGACCTCAAGATCAGGAAAATAGAGACATGTGAATGCTAGAAGACGAGATAGTCCAAGGAATAATCTAGAGCTCTTATGGTGAATCAACAAAGTTCGGCAAATTCCAAGAACTTCGGTTCCCTGAGCCCATGATTTCAATCCCATGCCATGGCCATGCTTTTCACCATGTGAAATAACAAAGTTTGTAAGCAACTCTATCAATCTACGAGGAGGTATAGTATCATTCTCAGCAATCCGATGGAAGAGC